TTACACACACACACACACACACACACACACACACACACACACACACACACACACACACACACACACACACACACTGTGCATGTTCGGATTATAGGTTTACCCTATGCTCGTTGCACATCTAAATTTGATACATTCAGTTGTTTATTTTTTTAAAGAGTTTTATGGCACTTGCAACACAATAAGGTTAAGTGCCGAAATACATTTGATTCTTTTGGTACAGTCAGGGCTACTCCTTTTTTTTTTATTACGGAGGGGCATTTTCGACACAGTTTGCCGGTGATCGTCACAATCAAACATAAAGATCTGTCTTTCAAGGTCACGAGTTGCCCGCGTCGAATTCACCAGGTGTGTAACAACCAATCACTAGGCTTGTAACCTAGAGAATCACATAAGGTCAAGGCCATATCTTTCGTTTGCTCGAGGAATTTGATATCGGATGGTGTTGATTTAGATTGGCCAACAGAAAGCTATCGTAATCGCCCATGTCTGTGGGATTCAGGAACCTCTCCTCAGCACAGCAACCGCGATATGCAGACGTTGTCTCTTGACACCGTTGCACGAGGAAATGGCTGTGTTGTAAGCGGTAAATTTTGTGTACAACAACACAGCGCAGCGCAGGACATGACCCCAGCAGAAAGTCACATGGTCACCTGAGGCCAAAGTTCAAGGGCCAAATTTGGCGACGTCAGGCAGTGGTTTATTCGTCGTGTGCTTTGAAGCCACCAAACCGATCCGATCTGATCCGATCCTGCCAATGGGTAAACAGTGTTGACTTTTTCATAGCTCATGTGGGTGTGTACATGTGTGCGTGCGCGCTCATTCATTTGTTAAAGGGTTTGTATAGACGTTTTTTGTGTGCATGGGTGCGTGTGTGTACCGCTCGCCTCCATGTCTTCTTTGGTTTTCTTTCTTACGTTTTCCTTTGTGGAATCCACGTCGATGCCTGTCTGATGATGCTTGTTGGGGGTCTCCTCAGGGTGTGTCTAATCAATTGAGGTCTTGTAAACAGATGAATTTATCTTACCAGATGATTGAGCTGCTATGAGTTTAATGAACGTTGTCAAAAACGACACACTAAAATTTGTCTAAGCCACGAAGTATTTATTAGTACATGGTCAAACATGGCAAGGCAGGCACATATTGGAGCATGACAAAGAAAGAGTTCAGACACATTTTGATTGACTTTGCGTCCCTCAGCACCAGAAAGAATATTCGGGAAATAAATAGAGGAAACCCTTTGGTTCATCAGGGATACCTCCTTGATCTTGTAAGAGAAACCCAAAAAAAGACAACCTTCTAAGTCGTTCTGTCATTGCAGGCTTCAGTTTTTTAGCTATCTTGTTTTACATTCTATATACTGTCAAAATGGCATAGGTTTAATGCCTCTTTCAACACTATTGGGTTATTTAAGAGGCAGGACCTCCAAGTTTAACGTCCGTCTCAGAAAGGTCCAAACCAAGAAGGAAATTCACGCAAAGTGCCTTTCTCAAGGACACAACGTCGGACCGAGCTGAGCCTCGAACCCCCAAACCCGCAATCTTACGATTACGAGTTCGGTAGCCTAACCACTCGGCTACTGACGCCACTCTATGCTGTGATGACGGCAAGAAAATTATAACTAAACTGTACCAGAAAAGGCCGGCTTCAGTAAGAGTCAGGAAATGGCTAAGGCACTTTATCTTGTAGAGTCATCCTATGTCGCTCCTGGTGTAACATAATAATAATAATATGTCTTTGCCGCTTAGTGCTATATTTTTTTAATGTCTCTTGCCTGTACCATTCAAATTGACATTGCTCGTTAGTATAAAAACTGCGTATGAAAGAATTAACTATTACGAATATAATTATTGCAACTCGGTGTTATATTGTGCTAACTCCGGTGTGTCAGTTTTGGCGTAATTAAATTTGAAATCACTGACTTCATGTCACGAAAACGGGAGTTAATACAAATAAATGAAACAGAAAATCCAAGGGAAATGAGCATTAACCGTAATGATGTTAGATCAAAGGCAAATTTTCTCAACAGCCTTGAAAATATTGTGACAAAAGCTCCCAGAAGTCGACAACAATGGGAGCCAGCACAAGACAGTACATGTACATATTCGTGCGCGGCTTTGGTCTTTGGTCTAGAGAGTGATCTTGACTTACGTTACAAGTGGTTACGGTCTCAAGCGACCTAATGCGCCTGTCTCCACGTTCTAAACTTTATCTGTGTCGAGACGGTGCTTGTCTTGCTTGCTTCTTTGTATCAATTGTATGTCAAAGATATCGGCCCTTGTCCTCCTTCGTTCGCTTTTCCTTCATATATATAAATTGTCTTTTGATATACTGCTATCTTTTATGCTGTACAAATTAATGTCTAAACAATTAAAGTTTTCGGTGCTTAACCACATGTGAGGCGTCGTGGTAGAATCTGGCGTCCGTCAAGATAATGAAATGGAAGAAACCGGCTTTTCCTCCTGTTGGACATTTTCTACTGAATCTTTTCTCGGCTCAGCACCCTTTTTGACCATTTAAGAATATTTTTTCTAGGTGGATTTTGCTGGGGAAAAAACTCCCAACAAACAAACAAAAATACAAGCAAACAAACAAACAAAACGTTGATTAAAGGCACAAAAACAATAAATGTGAATTTGCAGTTTCCAATGACAATCAAGCTTCGGAGGTCAGCATACTATGACGGCCATTTTACTTCCTTTTTTGTACCTTTGACATCTGGCGATCCCCTCCCCCCTCTTTTTGTCCCCTCCCACCCCTTCCACCTACTTCAGTCACAAATACCTCGATTTCTAATCAAGGTAAATGGGTATTTGTTTCATCAAAAGCAAAATATATAAACAAGTTTTAAGATTATACTAGAAACTCCATGTTGTGTCAAAAACTTGACGAGCGCCTGGTTCCACCGTGTCACATCAGAGAAACAAAACTGCCACTGAAGCTCAAGGTCTTTGCGTTACCTCTATCTTGATATTTCCTGTCCCGCCCAGCACTGCCAATGATTTATAATAAGGGCTATGTGTGTATGAAATCTTTATGACTTTTCTGATACTGTCATTGTTAAGGGAAAATATACGTCTGCGTGACTTCTGAACCAGGCAGGTCATGAGAGAACAAAGGAGGGAAATGGCGCTCATATGACCTTATGCAGTTGCGAGCGCCGTAAAAGCCCTCTACTAAAACTAAAAAGGAGGGAAATAGATAATGCTTCGAATACGATTTTAAACGAGAGGCTGTTTTAATGTAGTGTCAATCTTGGGTTAATATAAAAACAGGTAAGTTATCTCAAAGCAAATTGGAGAAGTGTAGAACATGTCTGGGGCTTCTGGGATTTGAGGAAGATTGAAGGGGCAGGGGTGGTGGCAGGAAAGAGAGAAAGGGAGAGGGAGAGAGAGAGAGAGAGAGAGAGAGAGAG